AAAGAGTTTCTAATCAGTAAGTCTATCTCTTGAAAAGATTGTGTTGTGTTTTAATATATTTCAAAAAGACATGATCTGTAATTACTATAAACTTTTACTCTTTTAAATATGATTTTCAAAGTCTGATTATATGTATAATTACAAGTAATTCTTTTTTATAAACTGGATAGTTCTGCCCAGCTAATAAAAGTTTTCTTGATTTAAATATAATTGATTGATTATTCTTGTCTTGATTTTGACTTAATATAGCTCTAATAATAAAATCTGAAATATCTATTGTAGCTGTAAATAGTAATTTTAAATTAAATAATAATAGGATTGATACTGAGATAAGGTGTTATTTAAGAGTATCAAATACTTATTGTACTGTTGTAAACTATTTATAATCTTTATCTTTATGTAGAAATATTATTAGTAGTGATACTATTACTAAAAATTCTTTCACAAATTTTTTATAATAACTTGCTAGTTCAAGAAATCTTTCTTACTATCTATTAATAACTATCTCTCTTCCAAAGAAAATAACTTGCTTAAACTAGAATATATCAATATGAAACTCTATAATAAATATTTAATTTCTTATAATTCTAATACTTATGATAATTGTATATAATTTGAACAGGTTGAAGAACTACTAAAAAAAGAATATCCAGATTTACCAGATCTAGAAAGCTGAAGATAGTGATTATGATTCTATTGAGAAAATCTTAAACAAATATTATATAATATTTGAAGATTATAAAGATGAAATAGAAGAAGAAGAATAACTTAAAAAATAGTTAGCAAATCTAATAATTAAAATCTATAATGATAAAGATAAAGAAAAAATGTTGAATATATTTATAAATATAATATAGACTTTAATCTTAGATATTCTAAAGAAAAAGTAACTCTAGTTTAATCTTATTAAATAATTATGATTGATTTATATTTGATAATTAAAGTTCTTGTAGGAACTGTTTATTAATTAATATCTTAATTATTATTGGTCAAGAAAGAAATAAAAATTAAAAAAACTATTAATATTAGATATACTAGAAATATTAGAGTTCTTTTATATAATAATTCTAATAAATCTTATGAAATCCAACCTAATAAATGAATTGCTTAAGCAGTCTTCTTATAACTTGTCCCAATTAAAGCAATGATATCTATATATACTAAAGAAGAATTAGAAGAATTATCTTATAGAACTCAAGAATTTAAATCAACTAGAAAAGATAAAATAGAAGTGTATTTTCTAGATAAAGAAGAAATTAAAAAAGTAGTTGAATAAAGAAAATTAATACTTGAATAACAAGATATTTTATATAATTTACTACAAGTATATAAAAATATTTTTGCATCAGATCTTAATAAACTTGAATAAACTAATATTATTTAATATTTAATTGATATTAAAAATAAAAAGCCTATTCATTAAAAGACTTATAGAATAATCTTATCTGATCAAAAATTTATTTATGATAAAATTCAATAAATGTTAGATATAGATATTATTCAAAAATTTAATAGTCCCTAAATCTTAACTATTATAATAGTAGCAAAGAAAAATGACAAGAAATAATTTTGTGTTGATTACAGAAAACTCAATATATCTATTAAGAAAGATATATACTCTTTATTATGAATTGATGAGATAATAGATAATCTTGAAGATATAAAATGATTTTTATTTATAAATCTTATATCTGATTACTAATAAATTAAAATGGAACCATTAAATATTAAAAAAATAGCTTTTATTTTAAGAAAAGAATTATATAAATTCAAAGTTATGTCTTTTAGACTTTGTAATATACCAGCAATTTTTCAATAAGCTATAGATAGCATACTTGAAGATTATAACTAGAAATTTGTTATAATTTATATTAATAATATAAATATATATTCAAAAACTTAGAAAGAATATCTTGATATATAGTAAAATAAAAAAAGAACATATATAATATATTTAGATTAGAGATATTATCTTAATTAATTATGACTTATAACAACTAATCAGAGAATTATGATTAATTATGATAGTCAATTAGAGAATTATGATCAAGTTATAATATTATTTTTAATTTAAATAGTATTGAAAATATTTTGTAAGCATAAACTATATATTAAATAAAAGAAATATAATATTATATAATAATATATTAAGTATTTTAAATATTTTATTTTAGTTGATAAGATTTCTATTAATCAAAAAAAAATAATTATAATTAAAGATTGATCAGTATTAACTAATATATCTAAATTTTGCTTATTTCTAGAACTTGTAAGCTATTATAAAAAATTTATTAAAGAATTTTCTGTCATAATAATACTATTCATAATACTTCTTTATAAAGATAAAGAATATGAATAATTAATATAAGTATAATAAGTATTTGAATTACTTAAATAATATTTTATATTAATACTAATCTTATTATTATCAGATTCAAAATTACTATTCATAGTTACTATTAAGTTAAAATTAAGACAAGAATAATCAACTTATAGTATTAAATCAAGAAAGCTATCACTAGCTAAACAGAACTATTTGATATATAAAAAAGAGTTATTAACAATTATATATATTATCAGATTCTGAAAGTCATATTTAAAAGAATAAAAGTTTATAGTAATTACAGATCATATTTCTTTAAAATATATAAAAATATAATATAATCATTTCAATAGACAGACTTGCTATTAAAAATATTATAAGCCAGTAATTTTGAAGTAAAATATAAGTCTAACAAAGATAATATTATTACAGATATACTTTTTTATTAGTCATATTTAATAAATATTATAGTAATTATTACTAATCTTATCAAAAAGAAAAACTTAATAAAGAAGTATCAGAAAGATAAATATTTTACAAAAATATATGAAGTATTGAAGAACTTTAATAGCATAATATCCAAGTAATAAATCAAGACAAAATATTTTAAATTAAAAAAAGACTTGCTTTATTTAAAAAATATAAATCACATAACTATATCTGATAATAAGATATTGAAAGTAAAGATCCTATTTGAATTTCATAATACACTAATAGCAGAATATGTTAGAATAGACAAGATATATGCAGCTATATTCCAACAATTTTATTAATCTAAAATGAATAAAAGTATTTATAAATATATCACCAGTTGTGAATTCTGTCAACATAATAAAAGCAATAATCAACAATCTTTAGAATTATTTTAGTCTCTTGCCATTCCAGAACACAGATAGAAATATGTCACATGAATTTTATAATTTAACTTTCAATCACAAAATCTGGATATGATATAATAATAGTATTTGTAGATAAGTTGTCTAAAAGAGTGCACTTTATACCTACTATTACAACAGCAATAAATGCCAAATTTTCAATCACATATAAAATTTAAAGTGTTTTAACTTTTTAAAATTATAATAACAAAAAATCTGTTTTAACAGAATTGTAGCTTAGACAAAAAGTAACAAATTGGTAAGAGAGATTTTTGTTAAAATTATTTGTTTTTGAGTTATAACACTTTTTATATTATATATAAATATTGAATATCTTATGCTGTCCTCACTATAGTTACGTATATTGGAACCAAATTGTATATAAAGAATGGTTCTCAAAAGACTGAGAGAAGTCAATGGGTGTTTGAAGAAAAATAAATTTTAATTCGACCTAACAGTACTTCGGTTTTTATTTCTTTTGTGACTTAAAAATTGGTAGATTTGTTTTCTGCTTAACAAAATTGAAGGTTTTACTGCTTTGGCCATACAAAATCGATGAATCATGTTTAATTCTTTGATTTGAATTTAATTATTTGTTGAAACCCATAATGTGTTTTGTAATAAAACTGTTTAGGATAAGTGTTATTTGGATATTTATTTTCGTTATTTGAAATGAAATTATATTTTGTCAGAAAATAGTTATTATTTGTCATTTAAAATTAAATATTATTTATGCTTTACCTTTAACCATTGAATTCATTTGCCCTTGATTGCACAATCTCCGTGTAGACTGGTGCAGGAGACTTTTAGAACCAGGATGTTAAATGACCTCGAAATAACTTGTTATTATGGTCACCTGAATTTTGGGTCATTTGCAAATGACTCGTGATCAAATGCACGGTATAAAAATTCATTTGTTTTTTTCACAATTCATTACTCTTTTACAATTAATAATTTTAGCGAATTGTCCCTCTTTTTCAAATGATTACTTACTGCAAAGAATGTCATCACAATGTAGATTGTGAATGTATGCTCTCAAAAAAGAAAACTGTAATATTTGCATCGTAAGTTATCTCTTTGTCTGAGTGGTCGTCGTCGAGCTTATATACTGAGCCAACCCATAAGTTGAACAGATATACTCATATCACTTTAAACTAGACACCTTCATAAGGCGGTGTACAATAGATTAAATAGAGCTTTTTAAATATCTCGATCGAAGCCGTATATAATAAGCACAATGTGGATATTTGACATCGTAAGAATGAAAATTTTCCATTATGCGCGCGTGTCTCCCTTCATGTTTTAATCAATATGGTCACAGAAGAGAGCATAATAGTGAACATGGTAAAAACTCAAAAAATGAGTTATATATAACTATAGTTTATAGGCATTGTTCATGGAAATATGTTCTTACGGTATTCACGTGTGAAGAATTCGAATTTGAAGGTAAATATTTTTTATTGAACCAATTAAAAAGGATAATTGTTCAGAGTATTGATTAAACTGGAGCGATTTTATGCTTTGTATGATTGAGAATTTCCAACAATATAGAAAACTTATACATGTAATTGGACCAGTACTTATATTTGCTGAAATTCGTTTCTATTCATACAAAGCGAAGGGTAACTACTTCTGAAACAACTAACCCCCTTCTTTTTACACCAACAGATATTTGCAATAATCTCGACCTATTTTTTTTTACTTTTGGATTATTCGCAAAGAAGACTATGTTTCTTATCGCATTATCTGAAAGAGAATTAAATTTCGAGGTAGCTAATAAAATTTTTATACATTAAATGCTATTATGTTTCGGAAGATCCGTAGAAAACTGCAAAAATATGAATATGAACGCGTTGAGAAACCATCAAAAGTTCCAATAGTCCTTCTGCACTTAGGTACTGGATTAAATTCAAATTCAAATCCTCAGAAAATATCGGATATATTTCAAAAGACCGATCATCATTTTCTTGCGAAGACCCAGTTGGCAAACTTCATATAGTATTCGTCGTCTATAAAAGTTATTTATGTCTTTATAAGATCGTAAACCTATTAACAAAGGATCAAAACATCTGTTTAGTGCATATTAGATGCTGTCTACGAAGCGGTCTATAAATTCCGGAAAAGCTACAAGCAACTCTGATTTTGGTTAATAACATTATTGAGAATCGCTTAATGCAGATTCACCCCAGCTGAAGATACTTTTATCATGAAGGAATAAAAAGTAGCCGAAAATTTGATTTACTGAGAACCAACATAATTACGTGTTTTCCTTAGCGAATACCATACCGATATTTGAAAAGAAAGCACATAGTATTATGGCGAGGTTATGAATTGCCAATAATAACAACTGGTTTATGGTTCTGTTGAATTGCTGAGCTTAGTTCTTGCCTCAGCTGAGATTACTGGGCTAGAGATAAGACTTAAAATGAAATGTATTTTGAATAATTTCAAAAAAAGAAATTATTTAATATGCGAAGTTAAAAAAAAATAATTAGCAAATCTAAGGAAGTGTAATGGTACACTAATTTTTCCAATAATAATTAATGTATATACAAATATCGATATCAACTAATTTTCAAAGCGAGTAAATCGAGCTTTTCTCTTATATTAGGGTATTGGGCAGCAGGAAGTTCCGTTTCAGCAGACAGTTTCGTGACATCACGCAATCATGGTTCCTGAATTTATATCGATCTTGCGTCAACCTCTTATTTTTACACTGATTTTAATGAGTAACATTTTTTTAGCCAACTTTTGATGCAAAGTGCTCCCAAAAGCATCACCCGGTTCAAATTATATAGTAAAACATATAAAAAATTGACTAAAGATGCAACAGTTATTTTAATTTACATGCATATAATTTAAATTGGGCGGAAATTTTTTGAATACTCCATCAGTTTCAAGTGAACCATGTCTATTATTAGTATATGTAGAATGTTTTTTTATGATTTGCGCATACTTATTGGTTTGTTATCATGTGTTCGGGAACCGGGCCCGATTCAATGTTCGCGCCCCAGACTAAAAGACCTTTTTTTTTATCCATTTCATTTTCTTTACACCACCACTTTCTTCACTACTTCGCTTTCACCATCTCTTCATCATCTTCACCACCTCTTCATCTCATCACCTTCGCACTTTCTTCACTTCACTACTACCTTTTTCACTTTACTAACATCTTTTTCACCTTCTTTACCTTCTATCTTCACCTCCTCCTTCTTAAATTTTCACCTTTTTTTATTGACGTATTAGAAGGAGCTGAACACCTTTAAATGGTGATGCTTCAAGCAAAAAAGTACGGATGACGCGGCAGAAAGAACTGAACACTCCTCAAAACAGATGATTCTTTTTGTATTTAAGACGATGATGAATTTTCAAAACACGAAGATGGAGGTTGGCGTGCTGTTACTAAACGTTTTGTTATTCTCGGACTATCTCATTGGCAAAGAAAAGTTTGTCGAACAAACCAGCTAATATCAGCTAATAGTTGTATTGGTTGGCGTGCTGTGTAAGTGCATTGTTCGCTTTCTGAGTAATCCTTTGGTGCGTTCGTTGACTGGTAAGAAGCAAGGTACAGATGCGATCATGCTTCCCAGAAGCTAGTGTTAACTTCGGATTAGCCATTGGCGAAAAGGTTGAATATGGGTAAACCTTCAACAGAGAATTGTTGTTGTTGGTTTGTTACTCTCTCTGAGTAGTGAAGTGAAAAGGAGGTTGAGCTTCCCGAGTAATCCTTTGGTACGTTCGTTGATTAACAAACACAAAGGGGACATGTTCTCTTCGGATTATCCTTATTGTAAGGTAGATGGGCAGCCCAATTTCGTGTTGTCTGCTCCCTTGTGATTTATGGGGTGAAATGATTGTCAAACCGGCTTCGGTGTTTTGCACGTCTCGTAATAGCTTTTGGTGCATCCTGAGATCTCTCGTGTGTATGACCGTGTGAAAGTTCCGTATATGTGTGTAAACTTCGCGTTTATGGCGCGTAAACCTCGCGTATATGACGTGACATAAAAACTGTTGTCTTAATAATAATATTAATATTTATTAATAGACCAGGTATTTACTAGTTAATTTTTCGCTTTTTTGCCCAAATTTGATATTTTTTATCTTTTCATATCGAATAAACCGCAGATTGTAATTTGAAGAAATCTTTGAATTTATTTTTCGTATATCTGATTACGCGTAAAATAACTTGAAGATTTCATTCATTTCCTTTTTTGCATTTCATTTCTCAATTTTTTGAAGATTGTTATAAATTGTCCTCAATGATATCTTCGTCAAGGATTGTATTTCAGTTGCTTTGCGTACTCCCTGCTTCCAAAAATGTAATAATGTTTGACGTCGCGCTTCTATGGAGACATCTGAAGCAAATTTTTTACCGAGTTTAAAATATAATTGACGTAAAATTTCTAAATAAAAAGCATCGTCACCACACGAGCTTTGTCGTACAATTAAAATAAAAAAATCAGAAGCATCATAACGATCGAGTACTTTAAGATTTCTTTCGAGTTAAATAAAGCCTATATCTGTCTGATAGATTGTGATTGAGATCTTTAATTACACGTAGCATAAGATTCCTATAAAATACATCCTTGTTATTTTTCTTGTCGCAGTCAACCATTTCACGTGCGCAATGTCCATTTTCAAATTGTTTGATAAATTGATCCAACCGAAATTGAATGTAATATGTCTAATGTGGAATTCAGCTATCAAGCACGACGAAATGTCAGAATTCTAAGAGGCCTTGACGCTGAAATGTTCGCTGAAAAGAATGTCGCATTAGTCGGTCCATCCGGTTGTGGTAAACCTACTATTATCTATTGTCCTTCGATATTATGACACCGTAAATTTTCAGCGTACAAATATCAAGGATTGGAATCTCGAATATTTGAGATCAAACATGGCGTTAGTTGGTCAAGAGCCGGTCCTTTTTGATGCAACTGTTGGCGAGAATATTGCGTATGGAAAAGGGGATGTTCACAAGAAGAGATTATTGAATCGGCAAAACGAGTTAATATTCATAATTTCGTTATGAGTTTACCATACGCCTGTTGGTGAAAAAGGAATTCAATTGAGCGGTGGGCAGAAACATTATTATTAATAAGCGTATAATTTTATTTTCCAATTTTACTTAACATGAATTCGCGCATCGCAATAGCACGAGCGTTAATTCGAAATTCGAAACTATTATTATTAGATGAAGCAACATCAGCACTCCGCCGGGAAGTTGGATGTTGGATTGTCGGATATTGGATTTCGGGATGTTGGAAATTCCTTTTATTACTTTCTTCATATAATGCTTTTTTAGCGGAAAATGGAATACCATTTTATAAAAGGTGAATGCATTGGTGAACTTTTCAAAGCTGAGATCTTTATAGATATATATATATTGTTTATTAAATTTAGACGAAGACAAAAATATTTGCATTTTTGGGCCTCATGCATACAGTTGTTCTATAATGCGGAGAAATCTTAACTCGCCAATCACGTGAATTTGTTTCAATTTTGCGTATGCAATGTAATATAGCATATTATATAATGCAGCTAATGATATGGCAGGCATTAAGCAATGATATGTAACATAGCATGTCATATAATGCAATCAATAATTTGCAAACAATTTAGTTAAGCCATGGTGAAGAAAGTTACTAAAAGATAACTTTTGTGATTGGTTGCGGCATTAAGCGGGTGTTTCTTAAAACGGTCAGGCGGAATTAATTTTTTTAGGGGCTTAGACCTAACATTAAACCAATAAAAATTATTCATGTGCAGAGTATTTATTAAAATGCTTATAACTTTTTATTTAAAATTTAAATTAAAATTCTGACCATTAGTTCAATAGTACATATCTTAAACAATATTATTACCAGTTTGTTTATTAAAGCCTTTAAATATTATGTAATTTATTGGCGAGTTAAGATTTCCCGCACCATATAGTTTACAGCTAAAGTGATAAACAAAGTAATCTAGTTTGGAAAAATAACGATAATGCTTTATCGTTATTTTTTGTAGAGCTGCTACATGACGACAATAATTCAGTAAGACTTTTACATTTATGACATGTAAATGGTTATACAATTACTATATCTAGTATTTTTCTATAGCGATAAGTGCTCGTATCTCTATATACAATTTCCTTTTCAGTTTTGGTTCTGTTACTGTTTAAAACTCCTATTAAAGGACGACCTAACTCAATATCTAAGCTCTGATTCGAAATGAATTCAGCAACTTTACAGAAAAGTACTCAAGTAGTTGGCCCAAATGTTGCCAAAACTCTCAAGTTGCTCGAACACGAAAACGTCAAAGAATATTTCGCAAATGTTAATAAAAACAAAGTTATTCACGCTATTTCGGTAGATTATCCAGAAACCGACGATAATCCCAAAACCAAAATCGTGGGCGGATATACTCATGGATTTGTCGCTGCCATTCACCAAGCGTATAACCATCATCAACATCTTCGTCTAAAGCCAGATGACGTATGGTTAACTATCGCTCAGGGTGTTAGTCAACATATCAATCTCAACGCTGAAAGATTTCGTAGTTATTTTGTTGAACATGAAGGAAAACAAGAAATTGCAGTTTTTGCTAATGATGTTTTAAATTACGCCAACAACATTCTTGAAGGTGATTGGCCTGAAGTTATTAATCGTCTTGAAAAACAAACTTCGGAAAAAATTAAAAAAGTGGATCTCTCAAAAATTCTGGAGTGTGATTTCTCGACCAGCACAATGGCAGCAAAAACAGCAAGTCATGTCATTCTTTTAGATGCTCTAAAGAAATATTTCAGCTACAAAATCATGCTTTTATGTGGCATTCCAAAAGTGACTTTGGAAGGGTCTCTTGAAGACTGGACTCGTATTCAAGAAAAAGTTGTAAAACTTCGTAATCTTGGTCTAGATATGGATTTTTGGCTTGATCGTCTTGAGCCGGTTATTTGGAAATTAGTCGACACTTATCGCGGAGAAATCGACGAAGAATTTTGGAGCAAAGTGATTTCGACAAAGAGCTTCGGATCGGGTGGACAAACTCGTTGGACTGGGTGGATAACAGCATTCTTTCCATATGATAAAAGTGGTGAAAAGATCACACGAAACAGCATTGATCCCAGTGATATACCGGATGGAAGAGTTCATGTGCCTTTCAGTACTGATATAGGTCTGGACTTGAGTTTTGTTGCCGGTTTTTTGGGCGCCAGACAAGAATTCGTTACGAATGAAGACGATACTGAAGTCTACGTTTCCTCTTTGATTGGGTGGCTCGTTGTTGACCAAGATAAAGATGAAAGAAAATGATGAGTCAATATAATCGCGCGAATTTGAAGATTTCCAATTGAGAAATTTGCAACATCAATTCACGCGCGTAATTTTGAATTAGCAATATATATGTATCTATAATTTTTTATTCGAATAAAACTTTATAAATTTAACAATAAAATCTATTTTATCTCTTATGCTCGTGCTACTTGGAGTTTATGAAATAATCTATACGAAACTATTTCGGTCAGTCACATCAATAAGAGCACTGAAATTTCAAAACCAGAATTTTCTTCATGGATTAGTTGTCAAGTACATTATTTGAAGTCAATAAAAAGTATCCAACAAATAAAGGAATATTCGTGATGTTTAAATTCAAAGTCAAATAAATTTATAAATGTAACACGTGTGCATGTATCAGTAGTAAATCGAGCAAAATTTTCCGAGACTTCCCTAAGTTAACACTCCCTAAATGCACACTCTGGCACAAAGATTTATTGCATCATTTTTGGTACCGGAAAGTGAATAACGACAAAACATCATCACTTCACCCACTCGTAATTCGCACAATTCAAAACTAAATAATCAAAAAGTTTGCGCTGAGATAGATTACTGCTATGGTGCATGTCTTGACTTTTATACAAAATTTTGGATTTACATTTACATTTACTTCATATTCTTGACAAAACTTTATATTTGTGGATTTGATTGGTCAATGTGATTGACGAATTACGTAAATTCTATTGCAAAATCGATACGTCAGTATCCACAAACAGTATCGCGCCCGGTGCAAAATTATATAGTAAAACATATAAAAAATGGAAAATTTCAAGCTATATACATATTCATATTTTTAGACAAATGATTTCCAGTTGTGAACGACTTAAAATGCAAAGACCATTTTGGAAAAAATTTTTTTCCCACATTTTACATATAAAAAGCGAAATTTTCAAGCTATATAGAAATTCATATTTTAGCAATTATTTCTAATTTTTATACCACTTTAAAGTTAGTTTTAAAAAAAATGATTCCTAGCTGTGGACGACTTAAGATGCAATAACTGTTTTAATTATAAATATTTATTTATTGTTGCGATGGCAACGATACATTCGGTGAACAAAAGTTTAGAAGTAATTAATATAATCATTTCCCGATTCCGAACTTTTGTCTACTGTTTGTGCACAGAATAGCATTAACGAGCTTTACAAATTTGTTATTGAAATTGTTGAGATCCTTTTCCAAAAACAGAACAGCTGCTAATAATCTTTTTTTCCCTTTATTTTCTCTATTAATGGCAAGATTCAGGGTTACAATTCATTAGGATAGCTAGACCAAATGAATATCCTTAAACATATCAAAAAATTAAAGAGTGTCCTAGAACAAATAAAAGAAATGAACTTTGTGTTTATGTGAAAATGAAAATATTATGCTATAAACAAGAACAAAGAATATATTAAATGAATTTTTCTGAAAATTAATTTCAATTTCAAACAGCCACATCTATTTCCAGATTGGTATTTCATATGAAAGTATTATATTCCACAAGTATAAATTTGTATGCATTTATTGGTCGTTTCTTTTTCATTGTCCTATCAATTCGTTATTTTTTTTCTCAGAAAATACAGTATCTGCAAACGAATTATGTAAATTCGAGTTATATATAACTGTTGTTATTTACATATTAAAAATATTTACATTCATCCCTAGCATATATTACTACTGCATTTACAAATCTCAATTTACATGTTCTAAACAATATATGAAGGTAAGCAGTGTCACAACGTAATAATAACCATTATTAGTTTATTAAAAGTTTTTATGTATTTCAGATTCGAGAAAAGGTGCGCTATCAGACAGGTAGTATTAAAAAAATAAAAATGTCATTTTATATACTAGTAAATGTTATGTATTACACGTATTAAAAGTAGTTGCGCATATCATCCCGTCAAAGATCTGAGCTCTAATATTTTTATACTTATTAAAATACGCATTATAAGCAATTCGTCGATGATTTTGTATATATAAACACGTAAGTGTGGTGAAGGAGCGAATTTCTTAATACAATGCCTAAAATTTTTTCGTATAAAATTTTTTACATAAAGATAAACATAAACTTTGTCAATATTCCATCAAATAACTGAAAATACATAAAATGCTTGCATCTATTATTTGTATTTTTTATTTTATTCATATTACATGTTTATTGAATTAGTGCATTAAATTTAATTGTTCAATAATTGACTTTCTTCATCGCCTTCCTTTTTCCGTTTTCGCGTTCTTTTTGATGCATGTTTCAAGTTAGTCGTTATTATTTCAATTCGTAAATTAATTAACGTAATCATAAAAAGCGAATTATCTTATATGATGATGTGAAATAACGTTAATAAAAAATCATATTATTTTTAACTTGGTACTTTCTCTTCTTAAATATAAAAATGGCATGGACAGCTAAATTAAATGGCTACTCCTAATTTAAAAATATAATAGATACAAAATCTTTGTAAATGATAAACTAAGCAAAGTTGTGTTGAAATCATTAAAAATTATTCCAGAGTTTATAAATGAGGTAAAAAAATGAATATTTTCTAAAATGGACTCAGACTGCAGTAGATGTCGCTATAGCGATAGGTTTCGTTTCGTTTAAAATATGATCTTCGCAAATACATGTATATCCGTTACACCTATCCGGTCTATTGGACTTCAAAATTTAACAGGTTTGCGGGAGATTAGACTGAAGTTTATTCGATGTATGAAGGTTTCTTTACTAATTTCAAAGGTA